AGTGCATTAAGAGCACAATACCTAGTTCTTATTAGGCAGATGAGCATTGGTATCCCCATTTAATAGACGGGGAGGTGTAAGCCCAACTTACAGAAGTCCCGAGCACCTGGCCCCTCCCTGGTTGTGGGGATTTCCACTTTTTTGATGCTGGAGTGTAGATCAGTCCTTCATACCCTGCTGCTTGCTCAGGCAGGGCTCGTCCCTGGCACAAACCACCAAATGCCACCTCTTCCAGTTTCTGACCTCTGCGACACCTGTGTAAATCCCAGTAACTCCCTGCAGAGGGGATCTGAGCGCTGTGTGCATCTGTTGCAGTTAGGAGGAAGGTTAGCACCGAAATGTATGGAAGGAGAAGGAAGCAGATAATACCAAGAGTACGCAGGAATTGCTGCTATGAGCTGGTTCGTGGTCTCTTAGTTTCTCATCTCTGGTGGAGCCTTTCCAAAACACCAGGCAGAATGGGATGGAGGAGCTGGCACCGTGCTTCCAAGCTGGTCTTTCAAAGTGTGCCCCAAGCACATGGTTTAGTTATAAGAGGAGACGTTTGTGCTCAGGTGGGACCAGCCTGCAGGCAGCAGGCTTTGGGATGGGGCTTATCCACTGCATCTGAGCTGGGTGCAGCCTCTCCCAGCCCTGGAGAGTCGAGCTGAGCTGATCTCTGCCATCCTGGTGCTGTAGGAGCTGCGACACCAAAGTTAACCCCATGTAGGAAGGGGTCAGAATAAAACCCCAGGTTTCAAAATGACCTGTAGTCCCTCCAAGGACTTTTGCTCAACTCCCAGAAGAGAAGGAATTCAGGAATTAATCACCTGCAGCTCTCAAAACTGACCTGTTGCCTGCTGCTGCACGATCGCTGCTGTTATTTTCGTGCTATCCACAATCACTGTTTTTTTTAAATGCAATGCATTTATTAAAGACTTCCCCACAGCTGAGTTCTCCAGTCCTCTCTGCTTTGTTTACCAGGAATTACTGCCTTTCTGGAAGCATGTGTTAACCTCTGATGCCTGAATACTATTCTGCAAGCAAATACATCACATTGGTACGGCCTCAGTCCCAGACAGTTAACACTGAGGCCAGACCGGTGGGAAAATCAGCCGTACTCTGTAGGAAATTTTCTCATTCAAACCCCTCCATCAGACTGTGACCAAAAAGAAAAAGAGCTGGGAAAAGCTCGGGTTTCCAATTACTCTCTTCAAAAGGGAGAGAAAAATTGGAACGGGATCGTTCTCCTCCTGTGCCGCGGTTCTTATTGTGCTGTAATGATACAGCCTGGCCATCATCCACTCCCTCCTTCTCGCCTTGCAGCTCCCTCCCCGAACAAACGATACTTGGTTGCCGTTAATTGGGAGCAGCCAAAATAACTGAATCCCCCGGAGATGGGGGGTGAGGACAGAATCTCAACAAGACGCCCTGCTGATGAATGTGGCTTTCAGCCGCTCCTACGCCCCCATGAAGGGAAAAGAATAGGGGCTCTGTGAAAGTGAAACAGCCAGTGCTGACCTTGGGTTTCTGGGTTGGTTTTTTTTTTTCTCTTTCTCTCTCTTTTCAACGTTAATTGCTCGTCGTTTTGTCCGTCACATGATCGCTGGAAACTGCCAACTTGTTCTCACTCGTTAATGTCACAAGTTCGGTTTAAAATAAGCAGTCTACCAGGTTCCTGATTTAGCACTGTTTATCCGAGTATCAGATGTGCTTCTTGTGATTTCGGACTATCATTTCGAAAATCTCTGACCCTCCCTCGGCCCATTAAAAACTGGCATTTTCCAGCTATGAAAGGCCTGCCTGGAAGAATCTCTCCTGTCTGCTGCTGTCAGGGAGATCTGCAACGTCTAACCTCTCCCTAGCTGTGCTCAAAGGCGATGCTTGCTGTATACACTGAGCTCTCGGGATAACAGACTCTGGCAAAATCCTGGCACTAGCACGCACCGTACAAGCCGGAGCCAGCCTGTGCCTGGTACAGAAGCTGCCTGTCTCTCGTATCCTTGTCAGCATGCAAAGCAGGCAGGCCACGGACGGTGGAAGGGGCAATGTGCCCCTCGCATTGGCATGCATCCGTATGCCCAGGCTTGATTGCCGTCTTCCTGTGTGTCTTCTGGTTGCCTTTGCTCTTTACGGGCAGGTTTCAGTGTATTGCTGCCTCTCTGCAGGAGATGAGCACTCCGACCCTGCTCCTGTGCAGCTCACCTGCCCAGTCTGTGCCATACCTGAGCTGTTTTTCAGTTCCTGATGTCCTGGTGTCTGCACTAGCATTAGTCTGTGTTCTCCAAGAGGTGGGGAGCTTCAGAATGCCCTTTCTCCTTGTACCTTGCCACCATCTCCAACAACAGTGCCTAAATACCTTTTTGGAAGGTTTTCCAGCATTCTGCTGGGATGAATTGGGATGAAGATTCAGCACTGAGCCCGCTGTAGTGGGCCCAAATCCGTGGACCACACTTAGTTAAAGGGAAGCTGGGGGATGGTGAGCGTGGGTTCAAGCCCTCTTGCTTGGGTTGTATCAGAGCAAATGCTGGGAGAGGTGTAAAACACATTATGGCAGATTAATGGACAGGGCAGAGGAGCTTAGGACACACAAAGCACTTCAGAGTCCGTACTCACACCTCCGCACAAGGCAAAACCTTTGCATAAGGCCTGGAGGTCATCAGCTGAAGACAGCAGATGTCTTGGTGCGGCAGTGAAGGAGATGCAGCCAGTGTGGGAAGGGAGCTCTTGTCTGTGCATCTAGACCAGGAAATCAAACACTGTCTTAGTATAGACACATCCATAAAATCTCCCTGTCCTTCCCACCCCAACATGCTCAGCCTCCAGTCAAGTTCTGGCCAGATCATCTAAAGGAGATACAGGGCAATAGAGGGCGAGTACTACAGTGCTGCATAGCCAGCGATGGTCTTCTTGCTTGGGCTTTGCCTTATCCTGAAGCTGAGGTCTAGAGTGAGTTGGATGAACGAGCCTTTCTTTCTCCATCGGCTACAAGGAGCCAGAATAGACTGGCTGTACATTAGAACTTGGGAGAGGGAGCGTTGTCCCTCTTTCACACCGTCCCCTCATAGGAATGCCCCAGAGTCAAAATTTGCCTTGCCTCCCTAAATTTTGGCATATATCCCCATAGGGATACACAAGCTACTGAATGAACTGTGTATCACCATCACAGATCCGGACCCCGCAGACCCTTAGGAGAGAAACAAAGTCTTTGTGAACACCAAACCCCCCAGCAAGGGTGCTATCTTCAGTCTTATGCATCTGTGAAACTAAAATACCATTTGCAGGGACCATCTTCCCTTCTGCCTTTCCTGGCTAAGGCAGCTCCCTCAAACTCAGCAGCCAGATTTCCCTGTGGCAAACAAGGGAGAAAAAAAAACAACCCAGCCCTGAGAGCAAAGCACAGGGAGAGAGGGAATTGGCTGGAAAATGTAACTTAATTATGACAACTCCCATCTGCTAGAATACGGAAGCAAAGTGAAATGTTTTGTCTGTTATCAGAGGCTTTGGGTTGCGAGAGGAAGTGGGACTTGCAACCTGGTTCACAGTCTGTTCTGACTTTGTTCTTTGTGCTGTCTCGCCCTGGGACTGTGACAGGTCCCATCTCTCTGCTTTCACTCTCTCTCCGTGTTTAACATCTTCCCGTCCTCTGTAGCTCCAGCCTAGCGTGGGTCTCCCATCACGTGGGCAGGCAAACTATTCCTCTGTCTCACCTCTGGCAGCAGCTGGTATCTGATGTAACGGAATTAAAAATAAGCTGTTTCCCACACTCAGGCAAAATACTCATTTGCATTTACTTATTTTTGGCCATCTCCATGCACTGCAGCTCTGGTTGGGTGCATATAAGCTTAGGAGGCACGCTCCACTCCCGCAAACATGTACGTGTTGGCTGCACAGGGGTAGCCACAGCCCTGCAGAGTCTGGTGGGGCTCCATCAGCATCTATTTCAGTTCCAGCATGGGCAACTGTTTGATGAGTTCTCCTCTTTTTTGTGTGGCATAAACACCAGCAGGGAAAAGAAATATCTAGGGTGGAAGGGAAACAGAGGGTATTGGGAGTGAATTCAATGCTGTGAGGTAGTCTCCAGACGTTAGGATCCTGTAGTGCCCTGAATCTGAATCTTTCCAGCCAGAGCTTAGCAACTCTGGAGGTTGCCAAGGAGCAGAGCAGGCAGAGGAGTGCCCAGCACTGGGGTTTGGCTGTTCTGAGCATCCAGGCACATCTTGTCTGGCAGTCCCTCAGCACGGCTCCCTGGATGCTCCCAAGGCTTCGATGCTATACCCAGACTGCAGCCAGCTCTGCTACGGGGCCCCTCGTTTCTCCATCACCTCCAGTCCTGCTGCTTCTTACATGTGGAGGGATGAGGGCTGCAGGTTTGGGACCGTGGACTTCTCCCCTTCTCCCTCTTGCCGTACTCACTGCAGCAGCCCCGGGTGTGCAACCCATGTACAAGTTGTGTGGCAGGGAAGCCGGGCTTATTCGCAGCCGGGCTTATTTGCAACCTCCGCAATTTGGCTGGGACCCTCTTCACTTAGGTGCAGAAAGGCCAGTTATCCCTTTGATGAGTAATTACACCCCCATTTTGTCCCTGAGCAGTTTGTTCTGGGAAAAGGGGTGAAAAATCCCCTCCGCAAATCATCAAGGGCTTTCTTGACACCTAACTGCTTCTTGCACCCCCTTATTGGTAGCTCCTGGCTACTCCTAAACATGCTCCAAGCTGAGTGTCCGAGGAAATGGGGAAGAAGGGCTTGTGACATTGCTGTGCTCATCTGACATAGGCTGAGCTTCAGGGACAGGGCTGTGCCATCCTTCTCCATGTTGCATGTAGGTCTGCTGAGTGAAGAAAGGCCCCTTTCCCGTAAGAGCAGGGCCAGCGTCTCGATAGCACCATGACTCATTCCAGGAATGGCAGCACGATGTTCTCCCTGATGCATCACCGTTAACGTTTCTTCTTTCTCCCCTCCCCGCAGGGCACAAAGACGACGTTCCTCAGAGCCGGGCTCGCAGCCGCTGCACGCAGCGAGATGACAGCCATCCTGGAGCGGATCAGCACGCTGTCCCTCAGCGGGCAGCATCTCAGCCGTCTCCCCAGGCTGCTGGAGGATGGCTTCCCCAAGATGCCTTGCACGGTCAAAGAGTGCGAGGTGCCGCAGCTCTTCCGTGAGCCGTACATCCACACCGGGTACCGTCCCACTGGCCAGGACTGGCGGTACTACTTCCTTAGCCTCTTCCAGAAGCACAACGAGGTGGTCAACGTGTGGACTCATCTCCTGGCAGCGCTGGCTGTGCTGCTGAGATTCAAGACGTTTGTGGAGGCTGAGCAGTTACCCGTGGACGCGTGGTCCTTGCCTTTGCTCATCTTTGTCCTCTCCTCTGTCACCTACCTGACCTGCAGCCTCTTGGCCCACCTACTGCAGTCCAAATCGGAGCTATACCACTACACCTTCTACTTCGTGGACTACGTCGGAGTCAGTATATACCAGTATGGTAGTGCCCTGGCCCATTTCTACTACAGCTCCGACCAAGCCTGGTATGACAAGTTCTGGCTTTTCTTCCTGCCGGCAGCTGCTTTCTGTGGCTGGCTGTCTTGTGCCGGCTGCTGCTACGCGAAATATTGGTACCGACGGCCTTACCCCATCATGAGGAAGATGTGCCAGGTGATCCCGGCCGGGCTGGCATTCATCTTGGATATCAGTCCTGTCGCTCACCGGGTGGTTGTGTGTCACCTGGGGGGCTGTGAGGAAGATGCTGCTTGGTACCACACGTACCAGATACTGTTTTTCCTTATCAGTGCTTATTTTTTCTCCTGCCCGGTCCCTGAGAAGTACTTCCCTGGCTCCTGTGATATCATTGGCCATGCCCACCAGATCTTCCACACCTTCCTGGCCATCTGCACCCTATCACAGCTGGAGGCCATTTTATTGGATTACAAGAACAGGCAGGAGATTTTCCTGAAGAGGCATGGGCCTCTCTCCATCTATCTCTCCTGCATCTCTTTTTTTGGCTTGGTGGCTTGTAGTGCCATCACAGCTTACATCCTGCGATGCAGGATCAAGGCCAGCCTGGCTAAAAAGGACTCCTGAGAGTCACAAACGTGATGGTCATGACAACACCAGGGTGGTGAAAAATCAAGAAAAGGGGCATAACATATTAGAGACATAACTGGCTTATTTGCCTAACACACTGTGACTAACCTGGACCCTGGACTCAGGTGGAGGGCTGGAGACTTCATGCTGGATGCATTTTCACAGCAGGGACTGCCTTCTGCCATCCAGGGGGACATGGGGTGTTTTAAGCCAGAACAAGTAATTTAACCAAGGATGCTGGAATAGGCAGAGGTTTCTTGTTCATTCTGGTAAACCTGTGGGTGATATCTTGCTGAATGTCAGGGCAAGCAGCCTGAAGGCTGTGAGACTGTAGAAAGGTCTGCCAGGGCTCACAACGCAGCGGAGAACACACTGTGAGGACCACGGCTGGATGTGATGACCTCTCTGGGTTTTGCCATCTCTGCTATCTGTGGGAGACCTGTTACTATCAAAGACAGTAGCAAGGGTTCAGGAGGAGTCTACATTTCTAGGGTTCAGCTGCAAGGGCATGTGTGGCACAGTGGCTGGTAGAATCCTTTTCCTGCTCCGGCTGGGCTAAGCCAGGTTCTCTCTACGGTCCCCTTGTCAAGTATCTCAACGCCAGGTTGCTGAGGTGGCTTTGGCAAAGCATGTTTAGAGACTTAGGCCTGACCTGGGGTCCTCTAGGATGAACTGGGTCTGAACCTGAGCCCTGTGTCATGTCTGCTGGTGACTGGTGTGGGTCCAGCACAGGTGATGTTAGGTCAGCTCCACCTTCTCTTTCTGTATGACTACACCATCTGTAGTGGAGCTGCTCATCAAAACCAAGGAGTCAGGCTGTCCCAAGGATTACTAACAGGAGATGGGGTCTTTCTCAGCCATTGGAATTTGACCTAAGGTAGTGGCAGTGCTGATGGCTATTTGGTAGCCTACAAGAAAGGTCTTCAAAGGCTCCTCACTTCCATTTTAAGTCCTTAGTTGCCTTTGAGGAGATGGGCCTGGGTCAGGTTGGAGATGATTTTGAGCCTTAGTAGCAGTGGCAGAGGTTGAACACCCCTGAGGCCATCAATGTTCAGGGCGCTGGTCCCAGGAGGGGAGATACTTTTGATGCCGGGTGCATCATTTTGGCTGCTTGTGTGACGGGTTCATGCATTC